GGGGCGGCGCGGGAAAGCGCCCGCGCGCACCCCTGCGGAAGGCGCGTTCGCTTTGTGTGCCGCTTCTGGAGGGAGAACGCGTGGCCAAGTAGGGGGACGTGCCGCGAGTTCTAGGATCAGTGGGACGGAGCGTGCGGGAGGAGCTGGAGTTGAATCAGCCACCTCAGGGGTGCTTGACAAGACTTGAAAATGAGAGATCGGACACTTTCGCGTGGACGCCTTGGGGAGAAACCATAATTCTGGCCCCCCCACGGTACTCTTCACTGAAGCCCAGCGTTCTCAGCTATACAGTAGGAATGAAAATACATAAATACTACTTCACAGGGTCCCTGAGAGGACTCAGAGAGGAAACGTTCGCTCTAGGGACTCTGAAAGGTAGCTGTGCAGGCGAGATCAACCACAGCACTATATTAATAATTAAAGCCTTAATTTAAACAGCTGGACCCAGAGTAGGGTAGCATCTGGAAAACTCTCGATCCATAACAAAGAAATTACAAACTTTAATATTTCAAAGCAGGGGGCTGGCTCAAGGGGAGGGATATTCTAGCCTTACTTTCTTATCAGGTTGTCAAGCTAAGGTGGGGGGGAGCGGTGGGGGTGCGGGGGGTGGTACAGACATCTAGGAAGAGTCCAGGTCTTGTTGGGAGAGCCGGGAGAGGGAAGAGGAGAGTGAGGGGCTAACTGCTAGCAGGGGTTTCAGGCAGTTTGAAACACGATGGAGTCCTTGCTTAGGAATGGTAGTTGGCTGCACATAAAGGCAAGCTTGGTTCAAACCCACCCACCAGTCAGCAGGACAGAAATGAGGCTGTCTGCGCTCTTGAAGATTTTAGAGCCTCGGGAACCCGCAATAGAGCCACTCTGAGTCAGGATGGTAGTGGGTATGGGGAGCTGCCCACTGGGGTACAGAGGTCGGAGAGCTCTGCCACTAACTAAGCTGTCTGGGGTGGGATCCTGCCGACCACTCCCTGGCAGGGAGATGTGGCGGCCTACTTCTGTGAAGTTATATATAGTACTGGAAACTCTGTAGGGCGGTACTCTGTTCTCTATACGGTCACCGGTCACCGAGACACTCAGTAGTAATGTTTGGGTTGGAATCGGATAAGGTTTGTCATACTGTGCAGCTTGTGTGTTGCTGTGATACTACAAACTATGCCTTGGGTATTCCAGATACCAGCAGGATGACCTGTGGCAGGCAGGTTTCAGCAGAGCTTCCACACTAAGGCAGGCTCAGAGGAAAGGCCTGGCAACCACATCCAAAAACCATCCAATGGAACTATATGCATACCCTGAGACCAGAAGAACTAGATGGTGCCCAGCTACTGCTACCAATTACTCTGAAAATTATCGCAGCAGGAGGGCTTCAGTAAAATGGGAGAGAAAAGAGTGGAACAAAACTCAGTCATAAAAAAGACCAGGCACAATGGTCAGAAAGAGACTAATGGAACCTCCAACACTTTATATAGCCTTTAGTCCCCCATTCCAGCCTGGAATTGAATTCATCTCTATAGCTCAACTTTCAGCCAGGTCGATAAAATAAACAATCATGCCAGAAATACACATACTCCTTAGAAAAATCAACCACACTAGATTAAAGGCAGCATTTTCTCAGGGACAAAAGCTCAGAAAGGATGAATGGGCACAGGAAACAGAGAACGTAGGAAGTGTCTGTCACAGTGTAGAGATTATAATCAATGTCACAAAACTTAATTGGGTAAGAATTGTTGAATGGAAAAAATGTAAACTTTCCCTCAGTCACAATAAAACTTAAAAACAAACAAAACAAAAAACCCTGTGGATCACAACAGAATCTTGTCAATATTGTTCTAGAGAATGAGCTACCAATTGGAAGGCACCCAGAAGACATGGTGGCTGTAAGGATGGGCTGGCGAATGCCAATGATTGTGAGGGTGGTTCAGTGTTAGGCAGCACTTCATTCTATATTAAATGGGGTCACCACGAGTCATCAATCGACAGCACCAGTGACAATATTGGAGTGTGTGTCAAGTACTCCAAAAAACAAGCTGGTTTTAAGTGCTGTAGGAGTCCCCAGGTAAGAACACTTAATGCTGCCTGTGGGGCTTGGGGCCATCAGATAAGGAGCACACATTCCCCTGAACTTGATGGATCCGCAGGGGTGAGAATTGTCTCCAAAGTGAGCCCTTCAAATCTGCGTGGCCAGTGCACCAGGCCCGATGTTTTGGGATATGCCAAGATGAATCAGACACAGCCCCTGCCCTTGAGGTGACCAGTTCAATTGACACCCGAGCAGCCATGTTTCCCGACACCTTGTACCTTCCCAGGAAGAGGCTAGAGACTTCTCTCTAACCTAAACCACCCTCACCACACTCCTCTGCCAAATACATACCAGAGAGAAACGGACGGAGTCCTGTGGCGCCTAGGCCAAGGGGCTTCATTTTTGTTTTTGTTCTTTACTTTTTAGTGGGAATTGGGTGAAGGTTTAGAGAGCAAATCTGTTTAGTCCGCATTTCCTACCCATTTTGATCCACGCCCTTGATTGCACTCCTCTAGCCCGTTTTCTCCCTTCGCCTCCCAATTCCGTCCTCCCTTCCTGACTCTTCTGAATTTTGTCCTTGGAGAAGTGCTGCTATCTTCCTCTCAAACAGTTGTTTGTTCTAGGGTGTGTGTCCCTCCCTAGTGTTATTGCTCCTTTTATAGACCTGTCTGTCCTGTGGCTGCACATTGAACCGCAGGGGTGAGTTAAGTTCCAGACTAAAGGTCACTCATGCTCATAGTCTCAGGGCTTCCCCCAGTCCTTATGCGACTAGTAAGCCTGGTACTCTTTAGGAGTTTTTGTTTTTATCCACATTTTGTCTCACTCTAGCCAGGACCTTCTAAGATGATCGCTCTCCAAATAGTTGGAAGTGATAGTCTGGCACCATCTAGTTTTCCTGGTCTTAGAGTTGTGGAGGCTACTGTTCACAGGACCCATGAGTACACCGGGCTAATTGTTTGCATGCATCTCTGTTTTTCTTCACTCTCCTTTCCTCCAGACAAGAAGAGACTAATAGCTACACCTTAGAAGACCATGTAAGAGTTTGTAAGACCTTCTCACAACTCACCAACATGATGGCCTCTGTGGGTTATGTTATGCCAATTGCATGGTCCCTGGCCTGATAACTTATTCCCTTACAGTGCTTGGATTTATCTAAGAAGTTTTAATAGTCTTGTTACCTTGATGCTCCACCATCTTCATGGATATCTTTGCAGCATAGCTATAGTATGCAGCATAGCTATGGTAGTTAGATGATTTTGTGTCAACTTGAATTTGTACGAAAATGTAGGGGTGGCATCCAGCCTGTCACTCGGGTCACAACTTGACAATGCCTCCTTTTGAGTGTGGTCTTGTTGTAAGGGAGGAACCTGGCAACCTCTCTATTGCTCTTGGCCCCCAAATTCCTGCCTGCAGGAATCCTGCCTGCCTCCAGAGGAGTCCCCAGGTGGGCCGCCTGACCCTGAGCGCTGCCGATGCCCTGCTGTGTTTCCACCAACCTCTGCTCCACTCGACTCTGCACCCACCAGCCTGTGATCGGCCTGCAGGATGCTTCACCTTTCGGCATCCTGGGCCTGCAGCTCCGGGAGCGTGAAGAGGGCCCCGGCTTGTAGCTGACTTGTGCATTGGGCTGGGATGCCTTCTTGAGACAAAGTTCTTTCTTATTATACACAGATGCGTGTTGCTGGATTTGTTTCTCTAGACAACCCAGCCTAACACATGAGGTACATACATACTCACATATACATAACCTCTATCAAATCCATAGATATTTGTGAGAATAGCCCCAGGCTCCCTCCCATCCCCAGACAGCCTGCACGGCCACCCTTGCATCATCCATTCACGGATCGCTGTCCTTACAGGATGTGTATGTAAAAATGTTTACCTCCGTTGCCTTTAACCTTTGCACACAGTCCTCCCCAGATGCCATCATTTGTCGCTGATCTCCCCGTATTCCATATTACCCTCCCCTACGCCCAAATTAATACCATCTAGTCATTTAGCCTCCCTTCGCCTCCTGCCCCTGATAACCATCAAAGACTGTTTCTTTTTATATAGAAACCTCTTCCTGACTTTTAGTGATCGTGCTTTCAGGCAGGGGTTGTCCTCCGAGATTGATTCATTCCACTCAACAGCCTGCCCTCCAGATCCATCCACGTCATGAGGTGCTTTGCAGACTCATGGTGATTCTCGAATGTTGCCTACCATTGAGCAGACACCAGAGTTGCTTTATCCGGCCTTCCACCGAGGAGCATTCAGATTGTGTCCACCTTTTTGCTACTGCGAATGCTTCGGCCATGAGCATATGTGTGCATGTTACCTGTTTGTGTCATGGCACTTCTCAAGGATCTACACTGAGTCATGAGATTGCTGGGTCAAATGGGTTGCTTTGTTTGTTTTTTTACCACTTTTTTAAGGAAGGCTATATTGGTTTCACAGTGGCTGTGCCATTTTTTTATAGGAGTCTCAGTTGCTTAGTGGTTACACCGTGGGCTGCTCACAGCAAGGTCAGCAGTTCAAAACCACCTGCTGTTCTGCAGGAGAAAGATGAGCCTTTCTAATACCATAAAGAATTCCAGTTTGGAAACCGACAGAGGCAGTTCTACCCTGTCCTGACGGGTCACTGTGAGTCAGACTTGGCTTGATGGCGGTGGGTTGGGGTGTTTTGATTTGCACTGAGGTGAAATGATATCTTGTTGTTTTGATGTGCACCTCTCCAGTTGCTAATGACCACAGACATTTCTTCATGTGTGTTGGCCATCTGAATGTGACCAAGATG